CGGGAGAAAGATGAGGCTTTCTACTCCCGTAAAGATTTACACCCTCGGAAACCCTGTACAGGGTCGCTATGGGTCGGAACCGACTCGATGGTACATAACAACAACAACAACAACATGTAAATTTGCAACTGAGACTATACTTGTTACCATAAGATAAAGAGAGGTAGACTGTATGTTTGTTATGTGACATCAAGTCGGTTTAGATTCATAGCCACCCTCTAAAGGGTTTCCGAGGAGCGGCTGGTAGGTTTGAACCGCTAACCTTGAGGTTAAACAGACCAGGGCTTATTCGACAGCCCTACAGAAAATTAGCCCCTGGTAGATTAAGCAACGTTCAAGATTGTAACAACCTCAAAATGTATCAGACATGTTTATAGATGTTACGAAAATACTTTAGCCCTTTGTAAATTGTGCTCTCTTCCCATCTCCTTGCCAGTCTTTTGACCTGACTGAAACTGCTCGCTCGCTCTGCAATTTACAGCACATGGTAATATTCTACTGGAATGCTGGTATGCCTCTGCTTTTCACGAAATGTTTTTAATTCACCGAATCAAACTTTTCGTTTTGAATGCCAGCGGAGGAGAAGTCTAGAACGATGGACTGGCCAGGCAGAGGTGATTTCCCACCTGAAACCTGAAAGCTCCCGTTAGGACCTGGCTATCCTAGGTTGCAACTAAGCAGTACAAGGGAAAGAAGAACATCCAAACTACCTGTGTGAGCTCAAGTAAGTCTCTGCTCTGAAGTAAGTCTAGAGATTCCCTAGGTCAAAAACGAGAACTCTCGGCATCGCTCTCCAGCTCCAACTCTGATTCTATAAACAGGATCAAATGGATTTCATTTTTCACAAAAGGCCCTACACAATCCGAAACCAAGAGCCCAAGAGTCTTTCCTACTCCGTCCGCTTCCTTCGCCGGAGGTGGGGGTTGAGGGATAGCGCACCACCCTCTAGAACGCCCCAGAAACCACAGTCACGAGCATCCGCTCGACATCCCACCTCAGTGACTTCTCAGAGCTCCCCACACCTCCCCCGAGCATTCTCCACGCACACCCGGTGCTAGCTGGAACCTCGAGAACAGTACAACTGAGCTTCGGAATTTCGCGTCGACAGTCACCTGTCCTGCCGCGTAGACAGTGGAGAACGGAATCGACTCCCTCGACGATCTTCACGTCCTGGCCCCGCCTCCTCCGCCTGGCGCCAGGCTGCGGAGCGCAGATCGGTTCGATGAGCCGGGGGCGCAGCTGCTGCGGAGCGGCAGACATTGGGTCTGTGCCCACTGTCTTCCCCCTCCCCGTCTTCCTCCCTGCTTCCGGCTCCTCCCCCCGCCCACCCAGCACAGCCGGCCCTGGAGAGCTGCTCCGAGCTCCCCGGGAGCCACAGGTACTTTCGCCAGCCGGATCCCGACCGGAGGGGCTAGTGTTAGGAGAGAGCGGAGACTACGCCCCTGCCCCGCCTCCCCCCAACGTCCGGTCGGGCCCTGCGGCTGGCCTGGGGTTAGGGGGCGTCCGGGGAGCCCCGGCTGGGAAGGGCTGGGTCCAGAGCAGAGGAGTTGGGACGGGGGTGCAAGGAGGACGGTAGGCTAGGACAGGGATGTGCGGATGGGGGGTGCCTGAGGTGGAAGAAGAATCGGAATTGAGGGTTACCCTGGGGAAGATAGGGAAAGAGTGGGAGGCAACCAGGAATGTGAGTGAGTATCCTGGGGCAGGAAGGCTGGAGTTCGGGGCGCCTTGGCCTGGTGCGTCAGATGGGGTGTAGGGGTGGACAGGTCTGCTTGCTGGAGGGGATGGGTCTGTTTCTTTAATAGTCCAGGTGAAAGAGAGCTTACCCTGCTGCGTCTTTAAAGACTGGATGGTGGTATGAATCATTACACTTGACACATTTTGTTACTAACATCTCCAGGCTGTGTCCCTCCAAGTCATTTTATTTCCGTGAAACTGCTGAAATGAAGGAAGAGAGGGAAAATGAAACAGAAAAGGAAACCTTCTGCCCTCATGCAAGCTTTTTGTTAAATGTTAATACATTTTGCAAAAAGCAAGAAACAGGTTAGAAGTATATTACTATGAAACCATTGAATAGAGAACCTGCTACCTCCTTAAAAATACATATATTAATGTATATGATGGCATAAAAAGCATACGGTGATTTGACACTTTTTAGTGACTTGCCATCCACGTGCTGAAATAGGTCATGAACACTCTCATTTACGTATTGAAACTCAAACCGAACTCACAGCCTTGAGGTCAATTCTGACTCATAGTGAGCCTGTAGGACAGAAGCAAGCTGCCACATCTTTGTCCTGCAAAGCAACTGGTGGACAGTAGAGCGCTTTAATCACTGTGCTGCCAGGACTGCTGTTTATAAATGTGTTGTTATGTGCCGTGGAGTCGGTTCTGTCTCATAGCGAACCTGTGCAGGGTTTCCGAGGCTGTAAATCTTTACGGGAGCAGAAAGCCTCATCTTTCTCCCGCGGAACAGCTGGTAGTTTCGAACTGCTGACCTTGGCGGTTCACAGCCTGATTCGTAACCACTACTCTTCTAGAGCTCCTTATATATGTACTTAGTCATAAAAACACCTAATTCATATGCACTGTTTTGCAGTTGAAATCTTAGGCAGTTTATTTACAAATCTAATTTCTGAGCATGGTTCACATCTAGTTATTTGGTACAAATATATCAGTTGTTCTGGTGTAGCTATTAATCTGTCTCCTGCTTTGCCATTGACTTTTCTGTTTGTTACACACTGTTTTTTTTGCCTTCATGAGCCTGGTATTTGGATTGTTGTTGTTGTTGTTATGTGCCGTGGAGTCGGTTCAGACTCATAGCGACCCTGTACAGGGTTTCCAAGGCTGTAAATCTTTACGGGAGCAGAAAGCCTCATCTTTCTCCCGCGGAACAACTGGAAGTTTTGAACTGCTGACCTTGCGGTTCACAGCCCGATTCGTAACCACTACGCTACCAGAGCTCCTTGGTATTTGGATTATTGGACCTGAAAATAGGGTTTGTTCACCATTAAGCTTGTAGATTATTTCATAAAGATGTTATGTAAATCTTCTTGTTGTTTGCTTTGGGTTATTGAGGCAGCCTACAAAGGATTAAAAATGTAAATGAAGTGCAGATATGTATGTCTGATATATATATTGCATATGTATATGAAACAATTACAATACTTCAGTTACTTCTTTTGTCATTTGTTTTTTCATATGTTCTGTAATATTTCTGCTGAAATGAATTATTCTAAAATCAAAGTATGATGAATAAAATGCCCAGATGTAGTGACAGAAATATTGTGGAATGAGGAATTCTAGAAAGTTTGTTTTGTGTTTCAAGTGGTTATGTTTCCGGTTTGGAACCACATCTTAGCAAAAAAAAAAAAAAAAAGTGTCAATTTGTTTTGACAGGAAGCTGATTAAAATACTATCTTTGGTTTGTGAAACTGATCCTAATAACGTTTAAAGATCTTAGAGGTGTTTGTCCTTGTGGAACCTTTTTTGAGGGCTACTGAATTCTTATAAGGAAGGCTGCCTTTCTAAAAGAATTTTATAACCTAGTGGGTAACTGATTGAATAAATAATGAAATTGATAATGCACAGCCATTGATTGGTTTAGGCTTATGTTTCTGCTATTTAAACGAGTTAAATGACAACAGTGTTATTTATTTTTACTGAGACTTTGTATTCCTTTAGTTTCTATTGTCTACTTCAAAGGAGATGGATGGATTAAAAGAAAGTGTGTGTAAATCACTGAGCATAGTGCCTGACACAACACAGAATTAATAAAATATACAGTATACTTTGTTGCTGTTGTTGTTAAGTGCCATTGAGTTGGTTCCTGTTTAGGGTTTCCAAGGAGCTGCTGGTGAGTTTGAACCACCAACCTTGTGGTTCAAACTGACTTTGTGGTCCAGCACGTTAACCTACAGCACTGCACCAGGACTCTTCAGTACACTTTTGTTGTTGTTGGTAAGTGCCATCAAATTGGTTCCGACCAACAGCAACCCTGTGTAGGTTTTCCGAGGAGCAGCTTGTGAACTTGAACCACCAACTTTGCAGTTCAGACTAACTTTGCAGTCTAATGCATTAATCACACTTTAGCTAGTCCTCATTCATATTCTAATCCAGATTCTTAAACTTCCTATTTTCTTTGTGGTGTTATTAAGTACCTGTCAAGTCCTCAAGTCATCTCCAACCCATAGTAACCCTGTATAGGATTTCCAAAGAACTGCTGGTGAACTTGAACTGCTAACCTTGTGGTTCACACCGACTTTGCAGCGCAGTGCCCACAGCGCCACACCAGGACTCTTCCTATTTGCTTAGGACAACTTTTTCTCAACTTGGGTTATTGTTGTTAAGCGCCATCTAGTCTAGTCGGTTCTGACTCATAGCAACCCTATATAGGGTTTCTGAGTTGCTGCCAGTGAACTTGAACCTGTGACCTTTCCATTCAAACTGACCTTGGTATGTTGCATATTTAGGCATTTTTCCTGAAAGTCAAAATGCGTATTAACATACAAAAAGGTGTGAGAAGTTCTATAGCAAAGAAAACTGACTTTATTTAACCCAGTAATTACCATACTCAGCCCTTTTCATGGAGAATTTAGTAGTTTGCCATGTAATTGAATGTCACAGTTTGCAGAACATTTTTGCATGTTTTTTCTGATCTGACCATCCCAACTGCATGCAGAAGTCTAAAAATAGCGATTGTATCCATGAGGAAAATGAGCCACTGTTTAAGTGACAATGCTGAAGAACTAAGTGTTGTACTATTTTCTGACTCCAGGTTACATCTTAGAGCCAGTATATTTCATTTCCATAGCCACCTCTCTGGGACTATCTGTTCTTTCATTTTGTACGTATGTTACTCATGGTTTTAGCTATTTCTTACTTGTTGAAGCCAAGCATGGAGACCAGGGTCGCTGAAGCAGAACAAGTGAGCGGGGAGAGGGCAGAGTCAGAAAAGTGAGGGTGGTCCCGTCATACTGAATCCTATAGGCTGTTTTAAGTAGTTTGTCATATACCCAAACATCTCAAACTTGATGAAATGATGTTTTCTCTTTAAGGTGGTGAAATCTTATTCTCCTGGGAAGTAGAAGACTACTTCGTGGGTAAAAAATTATGCCCCCCAAGTTCAAACGCCACCTAAATGACGATGATGTCACTGGTTCTGTGAAAAGTGAAAGGGTAAGTTCAGAATCTTAAACTTGAGAAAGATCCAGCATATGTTTTCATTCTGTATTTTAATCCTATTTGTTTTCTTCATAGTAAACATATTAAGGGACGTGTATGTTACTTAGATTAATAGCTCATTGAATTCTACTTCCATTAGCTACCAAGTCTTTCAACGAAATGTTTGTTATACATACATGCAATATCTTATTCAGAACTTTTTAGATTTTAGAAAGGTCATTAAGTACATATCATGTCATAACTTTTTGGGAACTCGGGTAACCAAATCCCAAATTTATTGCTGTAGTGTCAGTTCCAACTTAGAATGACTCCTTGGGCATAGGAGAACTTGGATGTCTAGTTTCCAAGATTGTAAAATCTTTATGAAATCAGATTACCACATCCTTCTTCTGCAGAGCTGCTGGTGAGTTCGAACCTTCTGGTTACAGCAAAGAATTTAGCCACTGTGCCAGCAGGGCTCCAGGACTTGGGCTGTTGTTATTGTTGAGTGCCACCGAGTCGGTTTCAACTCATAGCAACCCTGTATAGGGTTTCCGAGATGCAGCTAGTGAGCTTACAGTCCAGCGTATTAACCCACAGCACCACACCAGGACTCCCCAGGACTTGGGTAGCACCTTGAAATCAAACACATTAATATTGCTCAGTGATATGTATGATTATTTTAAGCATTAGCTAAATTGTTGTTGCTGTTGTTAAAGTACCATTGAGTCAGTACCAACTCAGCAATCCTATATAGGGTTTCCAAGGCTGTATGTACATCTTTGTGTGAGCAGGAAACCCCATCTTGCTCCTGTGGAACGGTTGGTGGGTTCTTACCACTGACCGTGTGGTTTGCAGTCCAGTACTTATCCTATAGACATCAATTCAGGTCAGTTTTCCCTCCAAATGAATTTTGGTACCAAACTTTAGGTTTTCAGAACTTTTTAAATTTTGGAATTTCATGTCAAGGACTTTGATCCTGTAATTGTCTCAGAGTACAGAATATCTTTTATATGGTGTCTTAATTTCTAGTTTATTCAGGAACAGTTTTTACAAGTATGTATAAATCTATAAATTATGTAGCATTTCGGGAGAAGACATTTGATCTGAATGTTCTAGATAGGTTATTTTTAGGATAACGCTCAATAAATATTTGCTGAGTGAAGGAATTAATGCTCTTAGACCTTTTTACCCAGTATTCTGAAACCCTTCACTCCTTTCTTCTAAACATCCATTTATTTACTCATTCATCCAACAAATATTTACTGACTAGATTCCATGTGGCAGGTGATGTGCTTAGGAACTGGAAGGAAGGTTCTATGCCCTTAGAGAACTTACAGTGCTTCTCTTCATTTCACATGTTCCTTTTTGCATAGCCTCAGAGCTTCGGATTTTCCTCTCTATACAACATCATATGTGGTATCAGAAATATAGTTGAGTATAGTATGGTTAACATTTGTCTTCCCTTATTCTGACACTTAAAAATTTTGATTTTTTTTTTTAGAAAGTAGTTAGAATCTACCAGTAGATTAAATCCTTCTAAGTTATTTTAAATAAGCTTTATGTATATGCTTCAAATTATACCATGAACAGTCCTAAATTAACTCCACTACTAAGATTATAACTGTAACACTTTGCATTTATAGTATGGGTTGATTACTTCCAGAATTTATTGTAAAAAAAAAAAGGATATTGGGTACCACCACTGAAAAAAGTTGGCAGTTTATTTTAAAGAGACCTACTTTTGGAATGTTTATCAATTTATCAAGCTTGATAGCTCATTCTAATTTATAAGTTAGTTCACATTTTTGAAATATTTTGCTTCTCTTTTCTTTGATATTTGTCTTTTGTAACGACTTTGTTGAAATATAGTTCACATACCATACAATTCACCTATTTAAAGTGTATAAGTCACCGTTATTAAATAGACTCACATGAGCTCTGGTGTCACTGTAGGACAAGCACTGGGCTGCTAACTAAGGTTGACAGTTCAAATCCACTAGCTGCTCCACTGGAGAAAGATGAGGCCTTTTGGTCCTGTAAAGATTTAAAGCCTCAGAAACCCTGTACAGGGTCACTATTAGTCAGACCTGACTTGACAGCACTAAACAACAATGATGAGTATATTCACAGAGATGTACAACTGTTACTACGTCAATTTTAGAATCTTTTCATCACCCCCAAAAGAAATGATGAACTTTTAGTAGTCATGCTCTTACTTTCTGTGTCCCCCTCGGCCCTAGACAACCACAGATCTATGGATCTGTCTCTTCTAGACACTTCATGTAAACCATCACATAACATGGATTCCATTTTATCTAAATAAATTCATATCGTATGTCATCTTTTGTGACTGGCATCTTTCACTTAGCATAATGTTTTCAGGGTTCATTCAGTGTTATAGCATGTTCTAGAATATCATTCCATTTTATTGCCAAGTACTATTCCAATCTATGGATATGCCATTTTTTTAAATCCATTCATCAATTGATGGGCATTTAGAGTTGATGACATATTTCATCTGTTATGAATAATGGCACTGTTAACATTCATATACAAGTTTTTGTATGACACATGCTTTCATTTCTCTTGGATATGTACTTAGGAATTAACTTGCTAAATGTTATAGGAATTCTGTGTTAACTTTTTGAAGAACTGCCAAATTGTTTTCCAAAGTGTACCATTTTACATTCCAACTAACGATATATGAGAGTTCAAAGTTTCCACATCCTGCCAACACTTGGTATTAATTTTCTTTTTGATTGTGCCTGTCTTCATGGTTATGAAGTGGTATCTCACAGTGTTCCCATACACTTTGACATTGTATTCCTAGGACCCATATGAGGGGACTTGAAAAAGTTAGTGGGAAAATTACATTTAATTTCCTTTTTCTATGAGCTTTTTAAAACCTCTTCTAATTTGTTGCATGAATGGATGAAAAGGTATTGGTTTTCATGGTGTATGTCTCAGTGTTGTTGTTAAGTGCTGTTGAGTTGGTTCCTACCCATAGCGACTATGTATAGGGTTTCCAAGGAGTAGCTGGTGAGCTTGAATCACCAACCTTGTGACTTAAACCAACTTTGCAGTCCAGTGCATTAAACACACCTTATCTTTAGTATCATCAGTCTCTAAGTAAGCTACATGAATTGCATCAGAAATGTAGTGATTGTTACACTTTTCATCTAGACTATCACTTAAGAAGTACTGTTGAGAGAATGACTTTCAGGGAAATTCACGTATTTCCCTGATTATTACTGATTTTGAACATCTTTTCACATGATCATTGGCTATGTCCTTGACTACTGAGAATCATCTAATTCAGAGGTGGGGAATCTTTTTTTCTGCCAAAATGTATAACATCATTTGTGGGCCATACAGAATTATCAACTTAAAAATTAGCCTGCTATATTTGGTCAAACATTTCATTAAATCACCCCTAACGTGTGTGGCACTGGGGGTTAATGTGCTGGACTAGAAGGTCATTTGAATCACAGGGTCGGTGTTTCAAGCTTATCAGCTGCTCCTCAGACACTCTATACAGAGTCACTATGGGTCGGAATCGACTCAACAGCACTTAACAACAATAACTGTTGTTAAGTCATCAGAAATGACTCTACAGCACTTACCAACAAATGTAAAGGCTGGAGTCCTGGTGTGGCACTGTGGGTTAATGCCCTGGACTGCAAAGTCAGTTTGAATGGCAAGGTCAATGGTTCAAGCTTATCAGCTGCTCCTTGGAAACCCATACAGGGTCACTGTGAGCCAGAACCTACTCAACAGCACTTAACGCAACAAGAGCAATGTGATGCCTGGAGTTCTGGTGTAGCGTTGCAGGAAAATGCACTGGACCGCAAGGTCAATTTGAATCTCAGAGTGCCAGTTCAAATCCATCAACCACTCCTTGGAAACCCTACACAGGGTTACTATGAGTCGGAACCAACTCAGTGGGCACCTAACAACAACAACAGCATTGTGATGTATGGGACAGTGGTTGTCTTGGCAGGGCCAGAACAGGCCCCTGGGCTGGATGTTCCCCACCCATATCCTATCCTTTGCATATTTTTCTATGGTATCTCTTTTTCTTACTGATTTGCCAAGCTCTTTATAGAATACAGATTCTTTTGTCTGAATGTGTGTTGCAGATGGTTTTTCCCAGTCTATTGCTTGCCTTTTAACTTTGTTTATAGCATCTTTTGTTCTTTACATTGTAAATTTTTATGTAATCAAGTCCTTGAAACATGTTATTTAAGGCTTCTGGGTTGTTGCTGTTGCTGTATGCCGTGGAGTCAGTTCCGACTCATAGCGACCCTGTACCGGGTTTCCAAGGCTGTTAATCTTTACAGGAGCAGAAAGCCTCATCTTTCTCCCACAGAACAGCTGGTAGTTTCGAACTGCTGACCTTGCGGTTCGCAGCCCAATTCATAACCACTATGCTACCAGAGCTCCTTAGCATTGAAACTCTTTATGCTTAATTGTGATAACTATGACATTCGGACTTTTTCTGTACTAACTGGTCCCTCTGCAGGCAGTGAAAGCTGTCCATCCTGATCTTTGTTTGGCTGCTCCTTGTTTCCCCTCCTCAGAGTAAATTTCCATGAAGCCTAATCTCATGTAGTCACTTGGTCACTTTTGTGCCATCACTGTTTTCATTGTGTACATGGCATTTATCCCTGTTAAATATTTTTTCTATGAGAGCTTGTCAAATATTTTTCTATCTTATTAAAAGCTGTGTGCGCTTTAACAGTGTACTTAGAACAGTGCTCAGTACATAAAAGATGTTCAAAAATATTTTTTAAATGAATATTGAGTACATCTGTTCATTTTTTAAAACCCTTTACTATATATCATGTATTAGTTATTGCCCAGAGGTACAATAATATTTATTATATTTCTTTTTGTTTTTCCTTACTTTTAAGTTCCTTGCTTAGTTTGCTGGATTATTTTTCTTCTACACTCTACCTAATCCCAGCATCCCTAGGCAATGTAGGAATTGTACTTCCTTCCTGTCTATTGTTATTGTTGTTGTTAAATGTTGTCGACCCATAGCAATCCTATATAGGGTTTCTGTGGAGCAGCTGGTGAACTTGAACTGCTGACCTTACAATCAAACCAACTTTGCAGTCCAGCAGCACATAAACCCATAGCACCACATTAGGACTCCAGAGGTCCTGAAGGCATAGTGATGCTGTACTGTGGAGTCGGTTCCAACTCATAGTGACCCTGCATAGGGTTTCTGAAGCTGTAAATCTATATGGGAGCAGAAAGCTTCATCTTTCTCCCGCAGAACCTCAAGTAGCCTCAGATTGCTGACTTTGAGGTTAGCTGCCCAGCTCGTAACCACTGCGCTACCAGAGCCCCTTTTGCTGTTGGTTAACTTTATGTTTTAACAATAATGTTTGTCTGTGATCTGTGTCATCATACTAAAAAGTATGCCCCTCCCCATTAGTTTACTTCTTTGTTTAGCCCTATGCCTACCCGCTGTCATCTCCCCTCCCCCATCAAGATAAGCATGTTACTATGCTTTGACTTGACTTCCTCATTTCACTCTTCCATTTCCAGTTCCTGGGTTTTGTTAGAAAAAACTTTATGCTCTTTTTAAACTTTTTCTTACAATATGCCTTTTTTTTCCTTTCTATAGCTGTAAGTTACAGTTCACAATCACATTATCATCATGCATTTAGATTCAAGTATTAGATTCTATTAGATTCATTGAAAGCATGAATCTCTGTCTTAAGATTTTTGCTCTGATTTCGTTTTCTTTTTAGCTAGTGTAATGCCTTGGGTAATTTCCTCAGAAAAGGTACATGGGTGGTATTTTCATTTCTTATTGCTACTGTAACAGATTACCACAAACTTAGTGACTTAAATAACACAAGTGCCTTATCTTACACTTCTGGTGGTCAGCAATAGAAAATGGGTCTAATGAGTTAGAACATATTTTTTCTGGGGCTCTAGGGGACAACCTGTTGTTTGCCTAATCTAGATTCTAGAGATCACTTGCATTCCGTGGTTTGGCTTCTTTCCTCCATCTTCAAAACCAGTGGGATAAACATCTCCCGGCTCCCTCTTATAAGGACATTTGATTATATTGGACTCACTTGTATCATCTATAATGCTCTTACCACTTCAAGATTCTTAATCACATTTGCAAAGTCTCTTTTTCCTTGCAAGGTAATGTAGTCACAGATTTCAGGGGCTAGGACATAGACATCTTTTGGGGTCGTTTTCCTGCCTACACCAGGCAGTACATGAGTTCTTGAGTATATGAGATGTTTGTTTTTTCCTTTTATTTAGCCTCCTTTTGGAAATTTGCTCCTCCCCCTTTTGGAAAGAGGGTGAGATTATCTTCATTTTAAAGAGAATACTTGTATGTTATAAGGCAAAGTTAAAAAGTTGTTTTTGTTTGGAAGTTCTAATGAGATGCGCAGAAGGTGGACTGTGCTAATTGTTAAGCTCTTGTGTTTTAGCTCCAAGTCTTCTGTATTTTTCTCTCTGATGTTGGAGTTGAGCCTTACAAACCCTGTCCTTCCTTTGTCTTATTAGATTCTGCTGATACAGAGAGAATGGACGGCAGGAGGAAGGAGATGGGACTAGTTCCTCCTGAGTTCCTGCATTTTCTAACTCCCACAGCTCGCTTCAATGACCTTTCTACCTTTCAGTCAGTTTCAGGAATTATGTAATTATAAGCCTTTTCTGGAAAGTCTGTACATATTGTTTCACAGTCTTTTAACTAGCAGTGAAGCATAAGTAATCATTCGTCCCTCTGTCTGGAAGCTTGGAGTTAAGACAGTTCACCAAGATAGGACTTGTTTCCTTATTCCTTTCTGGCAGTTTGCAAGCCCTCTGAATCTGAAAACTCAAGTCTTTTTCTTCTTTTAACAGAGAAATCTTTTGGAAGATGATTCAGATGAAGAAGAGGACTTTTTTCTGTAAGTTTAAAAATGTATATATAGTCTTAGTGAGGTGTCATTGACATAAAATAAAATGTATATATTTGAAGTTTACAGTATGAAGTTGGACATATGTTTACACTCTTAAAATCATCACTGAAATAAAAATAATGAACATACCCATCATGTTAGATTTTTTTTTATACCCCTTGGTAACTCAATTTTGTATTTTATCACTGTTTGTTTCATGTATCAGTAAATTATTTCATTTTATTGGTGAGTAGTTTCCCATTTTTTCTTTCCTGTCTTATGAGTGATCTTTTGTTTTCTTCATGTGTGATATCCTTCATGTCATCCCACAATGTCTGTTCTTCCTTCGGTCATTAGTGTTCGATGTTTCAAATCTTTTCTTGACATGATCTCTAAATTCAGGGGCTGTATACACCTACTCTACTATTGGCTATCTTGTTAGCTGACATTTTTCATTTATGACAGCTTTGATGCAGAAATTCTTGGGCAGTGCCTTCAGTGACATCAGCTCTGCTCAGAACCATGGCAGGGTGCAGGGTATTTTTCATAGGCCATCCCAAATGGTATACCAGAGGCCTTAGTAACAACAGGGTCCTATAAGGGATGGCAGGCAACTGGCTATGAGACACCTTCTCCAAGTTGTCCATGATATCTCAGTCTAACCTGGAAGAGTGCAGGGACATCAGGATTATGCCATGTCTGGGGCAGGCAGCAGAAAGACTGGGCAGGAGCCTGAAGGTGCTGGGGAGGCTGATGCTGAGGGTGGGGCTGCTGGGTCAGGGAAGATGGAGGATGAGCAGAGTCCTTGCCCAGGACAGACGATGCAAGGTGGCAGCCAATATCTGACCACTACTTTCCCTGACCCCTGAGGTTTCCTTGGTAGTGGTGAAAGTATGGTGGGGAAAGAGGGGCTTTTGTACCACATGCTTCCTGAGATTCAACAAGAATGCCTGACTAGCATTTTGACTGGTACTGAAGATGGGGCACAGCCCCTTACACCCCAACTCTCACATAATATTGATTTTGCTTAAGGTAAGATCTTTGGAAACTAACCTTGTCAGAAGTTGAGGAGTGGGTACACTCAAGGTTATTATTTATTTTTTGACACTTGTGGACTTGTTTTAATTTTGTTCAGCATCAACTTAAATTTGCATATGAACAAAAAGACAAGGCAGAAAGACCAAAATGGATGTCAGAAGAGACTCTGAAACCTACCCTTGAACATAGAGTAATTAAAGTGAACAGAAGCAGTGATGAAACAACGAGCTCAACAGATGATTTCAAAGGACAGCTGGAGAAGACAAAGTAAAATTTTATAATGAAATGTACAAAGACCTGAGGTAGAAAACTAAGAGAAAGAACATTTTTGACATTTCTTAATCTGGAAGAGCTGAAGAAAAAATTCAAGTCTCAACTTGAAACACTGAAGTGTTCTATGGGTAAACTGTTGACTAACACCAGAGTCATCAAAAGAAGATTAGAGAAATAAACAGAGTCACTTTACCAACAAAAATTGGTCAACATCCAAACATTTCAGGAGGTAGCGTATTATCAAGAACTGATGGTATTAAAGGAATAACACTCCAAGCTACACTGAAGACATTGGCAAAAAAACAAGTCTCCAGGAATTCGCACAATGACATTTGAAATGTTTCAATAAACAAATGCAGTGCTGGAAGTGCTCACTCATCTCTGCCAAGAAATATGGAAGGCCAACTATATAGTCAACCGACCCAAAGAAAGAGGATCCAACAGAATATGGACATTTTTAAACTACCATTAATAACATATGCAAGTAAAATTTTGCTGAAGATAATTTAAAAATGGCTACAGAAATTCAAGCTGGTTTCAGAAGAGGACATGGAATAAGAGATATCTTTGTTGATAACCACATGGATTTTGACTGAAAGTAGAGAATACCAGAAATATGTTTACTTGTGTTTTACTGACAGAAATTATTTTACTGTGTGAAGAATGGAAATTTCAGAACACTTAATAATACTCAGTGGTACTTGTATACCTGTACATAGACCAAGAGGTAGTCATTTGAACAGAACAAGGGAATACTGTGTGTTTTAAAATCAGGAAAGGTGTGCATCAGGGTTGAGTTCTTTCACCATACTTATTCAGTCTGTATGCTGAGGAGATATTCTGAGAAGCTGGACTATATGAAGAAGAACACAACATCAGGATTTGAGGAAGGCCCAAAGCAACCTGCGATATGCAGGTGACATAACCTTGTTTGCTGAAAGCGAAGAGGACTTGAGGCAGTTGCTGATGAAGATCAAATAATATAGTCTAAAGTATGGATTATAACTCAACATAAAGAAAACAAAATTCCTTGCAACTGGATCAGTTAGCAACATCACAATAAACAGAGAAAACATTGAAGTCATCAAGGAAATAGTTGTATTTGGATCCACACTCAACACCCATGGAAGCTGTAGTCAAGAAATCAAACCATGTTTTGCACTGGGGAAATCTGCTGCAAAAGACCTCTTTAAGTTTTAAAAAGCAAAGATGTCACTTAAAGGACTAAGACGCTCCTGACTGAAGCCATGGTATTTTCATATCACCTCATATGTATGTGAAAGCTGGACAATGAAAAAGGAAGACTGAAAAAGAACTGATGCCTTTGAATTGTGGTGTTGGCAGAGTATTGAATATACCATGTACTGCCAGAACAACAAATAAATGTGTCTTGGTAGATGTGTACAGCCAAAATGGTCCTTAGAAGGGAGGATGGTTAGATTTTGTGTCATGTACTTTAGACAGGTTATCAGAAGGGAACAGTCCCTGGAAAAGAGTATGGTGTTTGGTAAAGTCAATGATAAAGAGGAAGCCTCTCAATGAGATGGATTGACACAGTGGCCCAAGCATAGCAATTACTATGATGATGTCAGAGGATTAGGTAAGAATGGGCAGCGCTTCATTCTATTGTACATAAGTTGGTCACTGCAAGTGGTAACTGCCCAAATGGCACTGAACAACAACAGTATTCCATTGTATGAATATACTGCAATTTGCTTATGCATTCACCTGTTGATTATTACTTGTGTTTCTAGTTTTTGACTGCTAGAAACATTTATGTACAGGTTTTTGTGTGGACACATGCTTTCATTTCTCCTGGGTAAATACCTAGGTGTGGAATGGTTGGTGAAGGTTAACAACTTTTTAATAAATTGTCTAACTGTTTTCCGAAGTGGTTATACTATTTGATATTCTCATTAGCAGTATATGGTACCATATGGCTATATTTTGAGATGCTAACCACAAGTTCAGCAGTTCAAATTTACCAGCCTCTCTGTGGAGAAAGATGAAGCTTTCTGCTCCCATAAAGATTTACAGCCTCGGAAATCCTATACAGTGTGGCTATGAGTTGTAACTGACTCAGTGACAGGCAGCAGCAGCAGTGTTTGGGAGCAGTAGTGGTGTAGTGAGTTTAAATCCACCAGCCACTCTGCAGGAGAAAGATGAGGCTTTCTATTCTCATCAAGATTTACAGCCTTGGAAATCCTGTACAAGGTCACTGTGAGTTGGAATTTGAAGGCATACAATAACGCAGTCTGTGAAACTTTCGTTGTTGTGCCGTCAAGTCTCTTCTGACCCAGAGCAACCCTGTATTGGGTATCCGAGGAGCATTTGGTGAGCTTGAACCACCAACCTTGCAGTTCAAACTGACTTTGCAGTCCACTGCGTTAACCCACAGTGCCACAACATGACATGGTTGATCTTTTTAATTTTAGCTATGTTAATGGGTATGTAGTATTATCTCATTGTGGTTCTAATGACAAATGAGAGCGCAGTGGCTCCATAGGGTAAGCAATGGACTACAAACCACGAGGTTGGTGGTTCGAGCCCACTAGCTGCTCCATGGGAGAAAGGTGAAGCTTTCTGCTCACCAAAAGATACATAGCCTTGGAAGCCCTATATAAGGACTTTATGAGTTGGGACCAATCCACAGCACTTCACAACAATAATGACAAATGATGTTAATTTAAACCTCTTTTCCTGGTCTTATTTTTCATTTGCAATGTTCTTTTTTGTTTACATTTGCCCGTTTTGCGCAAGAAAGCACAGTGATAAAAGTAGAATATGCTCATAGCCTGTAGGACAGAGAAGAGTAGAATGAAACCAAAGAGATGGAGAACTATCCAAAGGGGATTACAAGTGTTTTAAAATTTCATTTCAAGTTTTGAAACACTTTATTTCAAACTTTGAAAGTTTGTTTCGATGGCAATGCTATTAAGTCATAAAGTATATATTCTAGATATACACTGTGTATTAGATATATGTCTTAGAAGTATTTTCTCCCAATCTACAACTTTTGTTAGAAGCTCCAGTGGCTAAAGCACTCAGCTGCTAACCAGAAGGTTGGTGGTTTGAGCCCACCAGCTGCTCTGTGGGAGAAAGATGTGGCAGTTTGCTTCCTAAAAGACTTGGAAGCCCTATGGGCAGTTCTTCTATGTCCTGTGGGGTCACCATGAGTTGGAATCAACTGGACAGTAGTAGGTATAGTTGTAACACTTTTCATTTTCATAAAACTATCTTTTGCAGAGCCAAGTTTTTGATTTTGATAAAATCAGTTTATTGAAAGTTTTCTTATATTGCTTTAGTTTTTTGTGTGTCATATTTAAGAAATCTTTGCCAAATCCAAGGTCACTTGTTTTCTTCAAGGAGTTTCATAGTTTTAACCTCTTACTTCTAGGTCTGTGATCCATTTCAAGTTAATTTTTGTTTACGGTGTGAGGCAACAGTGACTATTCATTATTTATGGCATGTGATTATTCAGTTGTTCCAACACCATTTGATGAAAAGATGAATCCTTTTGCCATTGAATTGTCCTAGGAGTTTTGTAAAAAGTAATATATGTGGGTCTACTTCTGGACTCTTACTTTCTTCCATTGATGTATGTAGCTATCTTATGTCGTACCACACTGTTTTTATTACTATGACTTTATAGTAAGTTGTAAAATAGTGTACAATAAGCACTGGACTACAAATCACAGGGTGCGTGGTTTGAGCCTGCCAGTCATTCCATGGGAGAAAGATGAGGCTTTCTTCTCCAGTGAAAATTTAAAGCCTCAGAAATCCTATAGAAGTCGCTATGAGTCAGAACTGGTACTTAACAGCAAAATAGCAATAGTGTAGTGTAGTGTAGTATATGTCTTTCAACTGTGTACTTCCTTTTCCAAGTTCTTTTGACTATTAGTTCTATGAATTTTTATATACATTTTAGAACCATCTTGGTGATGTCTTTTAAAAAATACTTGGAATTTTGATTGAGATTACATTCAATGTATAAATAAATGTGGCAAGAATTAATATCTTAATCATATACAGAATTTTCTGACCCATAAACATGGCATATATTTATTTAGGTTTTCTTTAATTTCAGTGTTGTAATTTTCAGTGTCTGAATCTTGTACTTTTTATTATTTTTTTTTACCAAGTTCATCCTTAAGTATTTAATGACTTTCTGATGTTACTAAAAGTGGAATTAATTGTTTTCAATATCCTGTTATTCATTGCTAATATATAGACATGCAATTTATTTTTATAAGTTGACTTTGCATTCTGCAGTCTTGCTAAATTCACTTATTTCTAGTAGCTTTTTGTAGATTTCATTGTGTCATTGGTAAATATGTCATTGGTATATAAAGGCACTTTACTTCTTCCTATCCAATTTGTTGCTTTGATTTATTTTTTCTTTCTTATTTTCACTTATTATTTCTGGTAGCTTCTTGTAGATTTCATTATGTCATTGGTAAATTTGTCATTGGTAAATAAAGGCACTTTACTTCTTCCTATCCAATTTGTTGCTTTGATTTATTATTTTCTTAGATTATTGCTGTGATTAGAATCTGCAGCACAATATTGAGTAACCATGGTGAGGGAAGACATTTTTGCCTTATTCTTGATCTTAGAAGAAATTATTCAGTCTTTCACTGTTAAGTGGTAGCGTAGTGTTTACGAATCGGGCTGCGAACCTTAAGGTCAGCGGTTCGAAACTACCAGC